TTCTATGGAAATAAATAGGTTACTCTAAAATTAATGTTTTCTATGCTTTCCTCAGCTTCAAATGCTAAGGCTATGGAGGCTTTTTTTATCTCAACCAATTTATTGATTAGTAGAATACAGAGTTAAAGTGCACCAACATTAGAAAATAAAATTCTTAAGGGAAAGCTATGTTCAAGCAAACTAATCAGTATTACATTTCCAGCAAGGAAAGGCTTTTGTCGTAATTACTATAACCCTTTGCAGGTAACCTTGAGGTGATAAAAAGTTTGAAAAGAATTCTGACACAATGGTCCACTATAGAATATGAAGAGAAGGCATAAAATTTATCCAACAATGCCATAGACTATTTTACAAATAGTTTGTTTGAATATTCAAAATTTCTAATGTGTCCCTTTAAAACATTATCTCTAAATATACTGTAGACTTACATGCAATTAGCAGTACACTCCTAGGCCTATGTAGTTGTGGAAGAACAATGTGCTACCTAGCAACATGCTTTAAGTGTCATTGGTAGCAGTTGTTGACATGGCTTTTTGCAAGCCTTTATTTTTTTCACTCAACAGTCATGAAGTAGAAGACATTTTGATAGAACGTATTTTTCCTGCTGAGTTATCACCTCTTCTTGTGACTATTGGTAATGTACTTACTGATTATTGTCTGAAAGAAATGACCTGTTGTATACCTGCATGCTTTGAAGCAGCCAAAGCACACACAGGACAACAAATGGACATCTTCTTGTTGTCTATGCTTCTGAACCAAAACCACAGTTAAAATGAAGTAAATGTAGTTCATATTTAATAACTGTCACATAATAAACAAGGATCTGATCTTCAAAATCATTAGAATAAATCTGTCAGATTTCTTTCTTAATGAGATGTAGGTAAGAGTTATTTTGGCCTGATGTCTGTGTGAGATACACAAAAGACAACAGTGTTTGTTGTCACTGTTGTTTGAACTGAACACCTTTCCCTTTGCACACCTCTGAAGAATTCAGTGCAGCAGATTGTACTTCACACCACATATGCTTCCCTTGGCCTAATCTGAATTGATAAATTTTTCTCTCTCCCAGTATCTGTGCGGGAAGTCACAGGTTCAATCCAGACAGTTAAAATTTTCTACGTTTAAAGATCACTATTCAGTCCAGACTGAACTGAAAGCTAATAAAAAAAGTGTCACCATCCAGCTTCTCAGCAGATCCAATTACAACCGGAAGAAAATCCTTTATATCTTTGAACAGCTCTCCACTGCTGCTACTGTAAATGAGCCAACACAGTTTCTTGCAGTAGTCTATCTCAAAAGCCCACTGACTGGTCATGACTAAGAAACTCACTTTAGAAACAGAGTAAATTAGTTCCTTTGTCAAAGGAGTGTGAAGGCAGTGACGTGCGGAATCAAACTCTATAACCACAAAGTAATTATAAAGCAGGTATGGTTTATTCAGTGCTGCACAGACACCGGGTGCAAGGGGGATAGATTCGCCTAACTTGCACACCGTCAGGAAAAATCATGCTACAGATATGGGCTGTACACATACAGCTTATGGATCCCCTCATTCCATACACGTACCTGGTCTGCCGATGGATGGTCCTTGTCTGCTCCCACAGTGATTGGATGAGGGAGTCCTTCCGAAAAATCTTGGGGCGTGCCTAAGGCGTCCCTCTTCTCAACTGGTCCTGCAGCTGAGCAGAGGGTGTCCCATCTGAGGCTGCCAAATTGACGTGCAGAATCAAGCACTATGACCACAAAGTAGTTATAAAGCAGGTACGGTTTATTCAGTGCTGCGCAGACACCGGTGCAAGGGGGATAGATCCGCCTCACTTGTACACTGTCAGGAAAAATTGTGCCACAGAGATAGGTTGATCTAATACATAATCAATAGTTTTCCTAGAATTCGGATACATATTCATTACACACCTGAGAGTTCATTAGCATGCAGACCCTCCCCTCTTGCGCATGCATAGTGGGTTGTGGGATGAAGATTTGTCGTCTTCCTCGCGAAGGCTTCTGGCCTTTCGGGGGGCATCCCCCCAAACAGGTTTCTTGCCCTGTGGACATCTAATCACCTCCCTGCCAAATGTCCTCGGGCTGTTCTCAAACCCTTATCTTTATGGCCTTCATCCCCCTCACTATCCCAGTCACAGTGTCTGCCATCCCTTATTTTCTTACAAGCTCTACATTGTTTCTGTAACTATCTCTAACTATTCGCCTTCACCCCCCTTATTCTCAGTCACTGTGAAGCCTTCTTGCCTTTTTACTTTCACTTATGGGGCCCGTCTCACCTTTCAGTAGTGATTGAACCAATAAAAGAACAGTCACTCCACAGGGTTTAGGTTCTGGATGATGGGAGGATGTCCCTTGATTCATGGTATTTTTCACCCCTTTGACAGCACGTGTAGGAGTCTGAGAGGGTAAATGATAATAATCTTTATTTCTTCTTGCCATCAAGTAGTGAGGGAGTGGTATGAGGGAGCTTGGGTGCCCCAGAAGTTTATCTGAAGTAGGCAATTGGAAAGCATGAGCAGAGGTCATTAAAGTTCTGTATTGAAGTATTTAAGTCGTCACTGTGTGCCTTCATCTGTCCCAAAACTCCATCTCATGGCAAGGAGAGTTGGATTCATCACAGGGCTGATTCACAGTCTGACTTTCAGAGAGTTTGGTAACAAGGGTCAACTTCTTTTCTTTTTCCATGGTACAAGTCCACTTTGATTCCTGAGTGGGAAAACTAAATTTTTCTAGGAAATTTCTCTACTTAACATTAATGCTAACAAAGCCATCACTTACCTCTTAGGATAGATTTCTTTAATCTTGTTCTTGTTTTCCTCTGTGTCACCATCTATTATCTTGGACTACAGATATAATTCCAGAATACTGACTATGCTAATAGTATTATTGTCATGGTTTTGTGTTTTTTTTGGTTTTCGGTATTCCACATCATAACATCACGTAGAGCACTGGGAGTTAAAGTGTTAATGCTCCAATCCCAGGTACCTATCCCTGTACATTACAGAAGTCACGGCATCTGGCCCTTCCGAGTGGGGCGGTGTCTCTTGCTGCCTTGCAGTGGGTGCTGGAGGGTGCTTTTCTAGCCGTTCCAAGCTTTTCAGGTTTGACTCAGTCTCAGGAACTCTCTCTCTTTCCTATCTTACTTAACTGATTAGTCTCAATTTCAATTAGATTCTATTATATTGTGTTATCTTGCATTCTGATATCATAGTTAGTAAAATAAGTTTTCCTCCATGGATTGTTGCCGCTGTTTTTCTTCCTTCCTTGAGCCCAGCTCCCATCTCCCTATCCCTTTTCCCTTTTCCTTCCCATTTTGTGGGGTTCGGGGGGTGCCCAGGTGCTTACTGCCCCCTGTCACAGGCATAGATTGATCTAGTTAACTCCTTGACAGTACTTTACTCTGTATAGAGCTAATTTCTACAGGAGATTATTAGTTCTGCATAAATTTTATTATGGTTGAACCTGAAGTTCTTTAAAATCCTTTGTGCTTGAGAGGTTGAGTTGGACGGGCCTAGAAATTTAAACCTTTTTGTGTGCTTCACTAAGGCTTTTAACCTTTCTTAAATCAAGACTTTCTTTCCATTATTTTCCAGTCACTCAACCTTCATTTTCCCACTTACAACTTCAGTTTTAAGAAATATTGTGTTTGTCTTTTGCTCTAAAACATTCAGAGATAGGTAGAGTCTTTGGGACATTTCCTTTCTCTTGCAGTGAGATTTCATGAAAACCTTTAATATCTGCTTTCAAAGATATGAGACCATGTTCTTCCTCACTGAGATTTGATTTGCAGTATTTTGGTCATCTTTAACAGCACAAGCTTTATCACTACAACTTAGAAATAGACGTATTTTCAGTCTGCTCTTTAAAGGTCTCCAGAACTCTTTTTTCTCATTTGAAGGAATCTCAGAGAGTGAGCTCCAGCTCAGAAGAGATACCTGCTGTGAGCAATATTTCCTTGTTTCCCTGCTGTGAAGACCCACTTTTCTCTTTAAAATTTCTGCATCAAATTGTGGGGGTGCAGAGCTGATTGCTACTAAATTCCTTTCAAGTTACCAGATGGATAGAAGATGGTAAAGCAGTGGATGTGGACTATCTTGATTTTAGTAGAGCATCTGACACCATCTTCCACAGCATCCTTGCAGCTAAACTAAGGAAGTGTGGTCTGGACAATTGAGTAGTGAGGTGGACTGTGAACCAGCTAAAGGAAAGAAGCCAGAGAGTTGTGGTCAATGGAACAGAGTGAATCTAGTCTGCTGATGACACAAAACTGTGAGGAGTGGCTGACATGCCTGAAGGCTGTGCTGCCACCCAGCAAGACCTAGACAGGTTGGTGAGTTGGGCAGGGAGAAACTTCATAAAATATAACAAGGGCAAGTGCAGAGTCTTACATCTGGGTAAGAAGACACCCCAGGTACCAGTATAAGTTGGGGACTGACTCTCCTCTCCTCTCCTCTCCTCTCCTCTCCTCTCCTCTCCTCTCCTCTCCTCTCCTCTCCTCTCCTCTCCTCTCCTCTCCTCTCCTCTCCTCTCCTCT